AATCTGAGCGCGGCGGGAGAGCGCGCGGGCGCGTTTGGGCGGGCTGGGCTCGGGGGAGAGGGGGGAGAGGGGAGGGGCGAGGAGAGGGAAAGGCAGCGGGGGGCTGGGAAGGGCAGGGAGAGGCGGGCTGGAGGGGGACCCGGGAAGGGGGGAGGGGGTGATGGAGAGGGGCGATCGGGGGGGAGGGGAGGGCTGGGGTGGGTGAGCCTGGAGACCCCGGAGCGTCGCTGATGCTGAGCTGACCGGCGAGGGGAGGGGGACCTCAGAGCCGAAACGTTGGAACACCTCTCCCTGCGCAGATTAAAAACCCTTCTCGTTCTTTTATTTTTATTTTTTTGAAACGCCTCTGGCCTCCGCGATGTGGGTTCTCCCCGCGGCCCGGGCACCTTCGCAGCTCCCGGGACCCCGTAGCGGAGGCCCAAGCAGATGGCTTTTCCCCTCTTGGACCGCCCGGCAGGGAACAGCGCACAAAAGCAGCGGCTTATGAAAAGCCACCAGCAGGTCCCCAACTTTCAGTTCTTGGTATGAGAGGGGAAAACTGCATCACAAAAACCGCCGCGAACCTGGAAACAGCGTTACCACAACGTCCCTGAGCCCGAGGCGCCCCAACAGGTGTCTGCGGGACCAGCTGGACGCCGACCGCCTGGCCCCCAGCACCTCCGCCTCCTGGGAGGTTGGATGCACGTTCACGGAGGGAGGCAGTGGAGTTCAAGCATCTGCTCAGACTTCCTTCGTTGTGTGACTTCATTCATTCTGAAGAATTGCGGTTTGGCTTTGCACAAAGGAGGGGTAACAGCAGCTCAAACACCATCCGTAATCGTGGAGAGCGGCATCAAAACACTGGGATGTTAGGAGGAAAAAACCAACAACCACAATGTCACTCTTTAAAGCTGACCCAGAGCAGCTAGCGTGTGTGTGTGTGTGTGTGTGTGTGTGTGTGTGTGTGTGTCACTGCAAAATTCTCCTTAGGATTATTTTAGGCGCTGACTGAATTGCATTTCCCTCAGGCTGATTCCCTGGTAATTTTTTTTTTCTGTGCAGAGGAAGTTGGGGCTATTTTAGGACACATAAAATCAAAGAATTTTAAAAACTAAAAGCTTATAGTTATCTTATACAACACCCTGATATTCAGATTTGAGAACACCTAGGATGTGGGGTGGGATTCGGGGGGGAGGCAGTGCCAGGGATGACAGATCATTTGGGGAAGGGGTTAAGTTTTACATTAGGAAAAGGCATGCATTGAGTCTGGGCACTTGAGAACATTACAGAATGTCCGCCCGTGTTTCTCCTGGCGTGTCATGACCAGCACACCTAAGCCGAGGGTGAATCGATCGCTCTCACCTCAGTGCTGCTTAAACTTCATGCGCCCCGGAATCAAGTGGAGGTTCTGTGTGTGAGCAGATTCCGATTCAGTCCTGCCCAAGTGGGGCCCTGCCTTTCCGACAAGCTCCTAAGTGATGCCGGGATCTGGTCCGTGGACTACCCTGGGACAAGGGCCTCCCTTTCTGGGACTCGGCCACATGGAGGAACCCTGAACCTGACCACAGAGCTTGCTCTTCTGGGAGCTTCCATGAGTGTGGCTACCTGCTGCCTTTATTGGGCCCCTGCCCTACCTCCGCCCCCCCCCCCCCCAGACAGGAGCAGGAGAGAGAGCAATGGATTCTTCATGTTTGTCATCTTTGTGTTCCTACTTTTTAACTTTCCTTTTCCTACCCAGCATTCTCCCCTTCCTTTCATATCGAAACTAACCCTACTGAGCATCACCTGCCACCAGCTGACTTGCCACCAGCTGCCAGTGCTGTCAACTGCCTTTCGATCCCACTCGCTCTGCTCACCAACTTCCAGCCTCAGGGGAATGCGGGCTGGCTCTGAGCCCTGACACGCGTGTCCCTGAGCTCTGCTGGAGAAAGTGACAAAAGTATTTGAGTTAGTGTTCAGAAATATATGTGTGTTTCTGGGCAGCTTTCCTATTCTGCAGACCACCTCTTTTACGAAGTCCCTACACCGCCTCTTCTTTTTCTGTTAGCAGATTATTAGTGCATCCTTCTAGCTTCATATTCATGCCACAGAGATTTTGATTTTCGGGCGCACATTCCTTCAACTCTTTTTTTAAAAAACATTTTTATTGATTTCAGAGAGGAAGGGAGAGGGAAAGAGAGATAGAAACATCAATGATGAGAGAGAATCATTGATCGGCTGCCTCCCGCACGCCCCCTACTGGGGATCGAGCCCACAACCCAGGCATGTGCCCTTGACCGGAATCAAACCTGGGACCCTTCCGTCCACAGGATGATGCTATCCACTGAGCCAAACCAGCTAGGGCTCCTTCAACTCTTAATTGCCAAGTTTCTCATCTCCATCCTAATTCAGTCAGAACATCTAAAGCGCCGAGAGCAATGCCTGGCACCACTGGGACCTGCTGTTCTGAGAGGCCATCAGGAGCTCATCCCTCTGCGTGTGCTGTGGTGTCCTTCCCCTCCTTTCTCTTCAGGGAATTGGTTCCATCATGTTAGAGTCTCCATCAAGGTTTCCCACTCGGTCCCCGCTCCCCTGAAGCATGTACGTATGCTCAGGTCTTGCTAATTTTTAAAAAATAAAAATCTCCCCTGCAACTGCCACCTGTAGCTCTTGCCTTCTCACCGCAGTCAGGGTTCCTACAGGCGTGGCCTTTAAGCTTAAATTAATGCCGCCTTTCATAAAGGGGAAGCCATGTAATCATTTGATAATCACCCCTCCACTGAAATACTTAGTAACTGCATTAATGTAACAGTTTTTCGGAAAACCTGTTAGGTTTGTTTAAGTCCCATTGGCTTTTTTTTTTTAATTATCTTTATTGTTGAAAATATTACAATTGTCCCTTTTCCCCAACCATTGACCCCCTCCACCCTGCTCCTGCCCCCTCCCCAGACCTTCACTGCACTATTGTCTGTGTTCATGGGCTCTGCAAATACGCATGGAAGTTCATTGGTTAATCTCTTCCCTCCCCCCTCCCCTGAAATTCATCAGTCTGTTGCATGCTTCTATGCGTCTGGTTCTATTTGGTTCGTCAGTTTATTTTGTTCATTAGATTCCACATATAAGTGCGATCATGTGATACTTGTCTTTCTCTGATTGGCTTTTGTTTGCTTGCTTTATTTACTGGAGGCAAAGACTGACTTTTCCACACATGGTAACCTCCTTCATATTACCTATTTTTAAAAAAAAAAAAAACAACAACACATGTTTTTATTGATTTTAGAGAGAGTGGAGGGTTGAGGGAGAGAGAGAAAGAAACATCCATCAGAGAGAACCATCAATTGGCTGCCTCCTGCACACCCCTCCTGGGGATCGAGCCTGCAACCTGGGCATGTGCCCTGACAAGAATCGAACCAGAGACCTCTCTGTGCATGGGGTGATGCCCAACCAGCTGAGGCACACTGGCCAGAGCTTACCTGGTTTTTGTACAGAGGAAGAAGCAATTGTACTGTCTAGTGTGGGAATCTAGCTGTTTTCTAAAATTAATTTTACTAAACTATACCGGTCACAGTGTACTACCCTCACACCAGAGTTTTTAAAATAAACTTCATTTTTTTCTTAAAAAAACCTATAAATATATAATAGACTGGCTATTAGAAACTAAAATTTATTTCAATCAATTGGTTTAAAGCCCTTTCTTAAATTTGTTGGTTTTACCTCCTATTACCTTATATGTTGGTTTTACCTCCTACTGCCTTATATGAATAGCCATTGAATAAATATTTGTTTTTAATTTATTTAAAAATAAGTCAGAGTCTACAGATTATAGTCATAAAACCTCATCTTTTCTTTGATGCTTCAAAGCTAAAAAAAAAAAAAAAAGAAGAAGAAGAAAGAAAGAAAATAATGCCAGCAATTCTGTGCCTGCCAGCTCTGTTTCCAAGGAAACAGAGAATAGATCATCAAAAACAAAATAAGGGTTTTTCAAGCTGATTACCTTTTTTTCACCAGTTCAGTCTCCTTTGCTGCAAAATGAAAGGCAACAGAACCTCAGCCTTACAATTCAGATTTTTGGTTGTGCTGTCTCACTATTAAAACCAGCCCCCCCCCCAATTAATATTTTGGATTATATGTTGGTTTTCTTGTAGAGACAGTGTTCACAAGGATAAAGAATACCTTTTAAATATAAAGCACTATGTACACTTGCTGAATAAGCTAACATATTTTTAACTTCAGAACTGTCAAATGTTTAAATTATTGAATCTCAGATTTGACATTTCTTTGGAATAATATAAGAAAGTAATGGGAATATATAAGTAAAGGATAAAGACTTCCAGAATGAAGTGTTTTATTTAAAGAAAAAAGAGCAGCGGCAGGTTGAAAAAAATATAGGTGACAAGGGAAAAATAATTGGACTTCCTTCAATAAAACAAAATATCATTATAACATTGCTCTTTGTCTCCACGATAGATCAACGATTTTGAAAAATAACAGTGAGAGATCACAAAAGTTTGGTTTAGCTTCATTATATTCTGTTTTATTTTATCATATATTATTATATTACCTAGTGGTGCTCTGTGTTTTATGAAAGCAATATTTTTTTTTCAAATCAACATGTTTTATACCTTAAACTCATACAATGTTATATGTCAACTAT